CATGCCCCTACATTAAACCCTAATAAACCCTGAGGACTGGGGCCTCTTCCCTCCGCAGTTTCTGCGGGGTCTCGAGGTGGGCACAGAGGAAAGTTGAATGTGGTTTCTTAGAGTTATGGTACTTGATGTAGGGGTCGAAAAAAGCACATCCTAATACTTAGAGTTTACATTAGGCGTCCCATAGTAGCTGAAGTTGACAAATGGGCACTTTTTGGCAAGTACTTTTGTGTAGAGGGTTTAGGGTTGCGGGTGAGCATGGTTTGGTTAGGATTTGGGTCGACGAAGTGCCTTATTGTGGGTATTGAGGCTCTAGAGTTTTGCTTCCGCTCATATACAGTTCTTTGCACCCTCGAGTTCGTCACCCGGTAACCTTGGTCGCAGGGTTTAGGTTTTGCAGCTTAGGGCTATGTGTGAGTTTCAGCTACCGCTCTCGTTTTGATAGGTACTTACATGCAGCTACAACTTGTGTCTTGCCGGGAAGATCAGAACCGCAACGGTTTGAACAGGCTAGTGTACATTTCTGCATAAACATAGGAGGCTATACCACGGCACCCTGCTCTAAACATTGAGGTAATCTTACCTGGACCATGCGTGCCAGGCTTCCGTAATGGTCGGCGTTCGTCGCCTAAGGCTGGCCCATCTCGCAGCAATCAGAGGGTGTAAGGTCTAATGTAGAGGCATCAGAAGTCAGCCTCAGCGAGGGAGCCCGGGTTCTTAGCCAGCATACCCGACCTAAGCCCACGAAGCACTAGTAGCAGCAATAGGCAAGGCTGCTGATAGAAGACGCAGCGAAAAGGACAAGGGCAAAGAGCGGGGGTATTTACGGCCTTATGTACGTTTCGAGAACCAGCGTTTTTGTCCCAGAATTGCGGTGACACAGTGACCACAAGGGGTAGGCGAGATTATCACATATTTGTATACGTTTTCGAAAATAAAAAGCACTTGGGCCCGGGGCCCTGACGCGCTGGTGCCTCTTTTGTTCCAGCCCCCCCCCCCGTGGCCAGCCTAAACCGGGTCTATTTAGCAGCTGGAACCGTGGGTTTTCAAAGTGTCTATTGAGTATTCTAGGTTATGTATGAAAGTAACACGTACGGGGAATCGGAATATGGAAAATAAAACTGTATCACCTTCGGTGAGTTTCGTCATACATCACATTCACGACCATGGCCAAC